CTTCCTAAACTCAATGTTACTTTTTTGAATGCTGAGCTTTATTGTTAAAGCCATCTTCTCCTCCGATCATATGGATGAGAAGACACAATGGCTGACAGTCTTCTTACAGGCTATACATTATATGCATCCTTCTATATCATACTCCCTGCCATGGAAAATGTTGTTTTTACTTGGAACAAAAGTTAAGCTTGAAGCAATAAACAGATCAGTTTCACATAAACAGCAGAGTTATTAGAAACACATGTTCATTCAATAGTTATCTAAGCAGCCAGACTGCAGATTAACCTGATCTCTGCTGGGTGCTGCAGTCCGGGGTCACCACGCAGGTTACACGTTGTAGGGCTTGGTGGGCTCATGTGGCCGGCCTGCTGGAAAGTCTTTTCCTGAAGACTCCATGAATGAGAAGGTTCTCGGGAAATGTTGCTGCAATACCTGTTTTTTATGTGTGTATAGAAGGAACTATTCAAAGCAGAAATTACACAATCCAAATGAAGTTTCATAGAAACAACTATTGCTGTAAAGTAATAAAAAAAACAAAAAACTATTTTCAGCTGAATTCAATTACATCTCGCAGACTGGAGCTGGAAGATTTCAGTTTAGGATTTAGTCATGACATCAGAGATTCCTTAGTGAATACAGACTGCTCATAGCAAACTTTCCCCCTGGGAGGAGCCATGTATTGCTAGGGGTGAATATACCTCCTGGGAGAAGCCATGTTTGCTAGGGGTGAATATACCTGCTGGGAGGAGCCATGTTTGCTAGGGGTGAATATACCTGCTGGGAGGAGCCATGTTTGCTAGGGGTGAATATACTTGCTGGAAGGAGCTATGTTTGCTAGGGGTGAATATACCTGCTGGGAGGAGCCATGTTTGCTAGGGGGGAATATACCTGCTGGAAGGAGCCATGTTTGCTAGGGGTGAATATACCTGCTGGGAGGAGCCATGTTTGCTAGGGGTGAATATACTTGCTGGAAGTAGCCATGTTTGCTAGGGGTGAATATACCTCCTGGGAGAAGCCATGTTTGCTAGGGGGTGAATATACCTCCTGGGAGGAGCCATGTTTGCTAGGGGGTGAATATACCTCCTGGGAGGAGCCATGTTTGCTAGGGGGTGAATATACCTCCTGGGAGGAGCCATGTTTGCTAGGGGGTGAATATACCTCCTGGGAGGAGCCATGTTTGCTAGGGGGGAATATACCTCCTGGAAGAAACCATGTTTGCTAGGGGGTGAATATACATCCTGGGAGAAGCCATGTTTGCTAGGGGTGAATATACCTCCTGGGAGGAGCCATGTTTGCTAGGGGTTAATATACTTGCTGGGAGGAACCATGCTTGCTAGGGGGTGACTATACCTCCTGGGAGGAGCCATGTTTGCTAGGGGTGAGTATACCTGCTAGGAGGAACCATGTTTACTAAGGGATGATCATACCTACTGAGCCGAGCTTTATTAGCTACGATATGTACTGGAAGAAGCCATGTTTGCTAAGGGCTGATTATACCTCCTAGGAGGAGCCATGTTTTCTAACAGCTGATCATGCATCCTGGGAGGAGCCATGATTACTAAGGGCTGATCATACCTTCTTAGTGGAGCTATGTATGCTAAGGGCTGAGCATACCTCCTGTGAGAAACCATGTTTGCTAACTGATGATCATACCTCTTGTGAGGAGCCATGTTTGTTAATGTTGATCATACCTTCTAGGAGGTGCCAGTTTAGCTAACGGCTAACATACCTCCTACAAGGAGCAAACCATGGTAAGTGCTGATCATCATCATACCTCCTCCCATGTTTGCTACAGGATGATTGTTATACAGCAGTTAGTAAGTGTCAATATTGCATACAAGGGAAACCTACCATGCTCCTACCTATTAGCAGTTTGGTAGAACCACTTGAACCCTTTGTAATTCAATACTAAATATATCTGGTAAATGATATGCATGTATACCGTATGGGGAAGAATTCAGAAACATAGGTCCTGTGTACGGTCATTTATCTTCTGCCTCAGCATCTAATACCTCAACATGTCTGATTTGAGATTACGAATATAACCCTGTTTCTGTAAACCAACCAAAGCCCTCCTGTGCTTAGTGTATCAGTCATGATGATACAGTGGTGATGGTGGGCACAAGGGTCACTCCCTCTTTACTTTAAAGCTTGGCACATATAGGTTACTCAGGTTCTGCGGTTGATTAAATGCAGGTAAGGCACTGAGTGAATCGAATTAATTATGTAATCAGCCTCAGATCTCAATGTAATTCACAGGTATCTGGTTTCAAAGTGTCCAAGTGGGCACAAACATTGCTTGGATTCCTCTAACACCCACTTATCCTAAAACAAACGTGCAAGTGTTTGCAAAGTGTTTAAATGTACAATACTCCTAAAATACAGGCACTACAAAGTGACTGGAAGAGCCACAGTGGGCCCAGCTAGCCCACTGATTCTGGGTGCATAGTGAACAGGGGCCACAGCTTGTACATGACTTCAGAGCTGTGCTTGGAATCACATCGGCCCACTATCCAATCAAAATGCATTAGAAGCCAGTAACAGTGCTCTGATTGGATATCGCTAAAGTCCTGGAATGGATTTACCATTAGGCACTGTATACTTGTACCTATAGGCGGAATAGTCAGCTTTTCTCTGTAGCGTTATTGGCTACATGTTTTCCCCATCACATCCCATATCAGCTAATTTGCCTTGGCCAGGTTAACAAGAAGATGTTCAAAGGGATGATCCTAGCAGAGTAGTGTTGCTTTGGGCACTAAAGCTGGAGTATCTACAGGCTTCATTGATAGAAATCCAGACCCACAGAAGTCAGAGCTCAAGTCAAGGACTCTAGTTGGTGTGTGCCCAGGTTTTGGTGGCTACCTGGGTACTCAATAAAGCACTAAGAGTTTACAAATGGCCCTTTGGGGGCATTTATTGACAAACATAGAATGCGCTGTACCTCCTAGGGCAATGGGAACATGCCAGTGCCCAGATGGGCCCTTATCAGCCCATATACATCATCTGGCAAACAGACATCAGTCTCTAATGTTTAGTCCATAGCTTTGCTAAAGATTTGCACCCCATGGATTATAATTTGTAAACATTTTAAACTTCTATTCTGAGTTTACTTTGAGAAGAAATACTCTCACGATCCATCACCAGTACTATTCCAGATGTATACACTGCTGGTCCAGTAACACTGCTATTGCCCTGCTCTGCACACGTGATGATGATTGTCATACTTTGTACAGTATCAGTCAATATTCGGCCAACAATTTTCCACCTGGCACCTTCGATTTTATTCAATCAACATTTCCTGAGCTGGGTTAGAATTTGGCCCGATTCTCAGGAATGATCTGAAATTCTAATAGTGCATGGCCAGCTTTAGAGTTGGAAGACAAATAAAAGCTCATTTGTGATTGAAAAGGATGGCTTGAAGTACAACACTGGTCTTTTGCATTGTGTCATTAAACCTTTTTATGCATTTCTAGAATCCTAGAGTTCCTCCAAAGTTTGCTAGGGGTTCCTTGAATTGTGGTTGATTGACCTCCCATCTAATGGTCATAAATGATCAGTAAGATCGATATAGAGTTCAGTGCAGTATATCAAGCATATCTTGCCCAGTCATTCTCACATAGGGTTCCAGGGAATCCTAGGATTCCTTCGAAGATTGCTGGGGGTTCCTTGAGTTGTGGTTGATTGACCTCCCATCTAATGGTCATAAAATCATCATTGAGATCAATAAAGAGTTCAGAGCAGTATATCAAGCATATCTAGCCCAGCCATTCTCCTATAGCACTCCATGTAATCCTAGGGTTCCTCCAGAGACTGCTAGGGGTTCCTTGAGCTGTGGTTGATTGACCTCTCATCGAATGGTGCCTGCATAGTTCCAAGACCAACACCACTTGACAAAGCCAACAGTAAGACACCAATTATCTTTTTAGCTGTATGTGGCATTCTGACCACCACTCTAAAGTTTGTATTCTTCCTGCTGACCACCAGGGTTTCCTTGACCAATGCCACTTGGCAAAGCCAAAAGTAAGACACCAATGATCTTTTTAGCTGTATGTAAGGGTGGCATTCTAACCACCACTCTAACGTTGTCATTCTTCCTGCTGACCACCAAGCTTCCAGGACCAATGCAACTTGGCAAAGCCAATAGTATAACAGCAATGATCTTTTTAGCTGTCTGTGAGGGTGGCATTCTAACCACCACTGTAAAGGTTGCATCCTTCTTACTGACCACCAAGGTTCCAGGTCCAATGCCACTCCGCAAAACCAACAATATGACACCAATTATCTTTTTAGCTGTCTGTAAGGGTGGCATTCTAACCATTGCATGTATTCATCCTACTGACCACCAAAGCAAGAGGCATTTTTGCCATTGACCCCTGATTCATTTATTTTACACCTGTGTTTCCTTTGGGGTAAAAAAGATTGAGAAAGGCTGTACTAGCCAGTGAATCCATGCTTGCAATATACTGAGATAGACTGCCCAATCAGACCATTTTCATTGTGACATTCATTGTGGCTGTCTATAAACAATTTACCAAATTGAGAAATACTTTAAAAAGTATAAATTGCACATGTAACAAATTGACAAAACCTCTGAGGTACGTTCCCCCTAAAGAGTGATACCGATCGACCCCCTGCTTGCAAAAATATTTCTCAGCCAGCTGTGACCGGTAACCTGCCACAGCTGCAGGTAAGCCATTCGGCACGTGGGGTTAATTTTGTGTCTGCAGCTTCCAGGGACTGTGAGTGACACTTGCAAATTAATTATGCCTGGAGGACAAAAAGTGATTGAGGGGGAAGGTGTGGAGGACAGGAGAGGGAGTGAGGAGGAAAGGGGTAAAATCGGGGAGGATGGGTGGTGGTGAGAGGGTGAGAGAAACTGCTAGAGGTCAGAAAAAGGAAAAAAAAAGAGCAAGAAAGAGACAAGAGCAGCAAGGCAGCACAAATGTGAGAGGGAAAAAAAAAGTGTGACACAAGGAAGAGAGAGGGTGGAGAGGAGGAGGGACTGCACACTTTTCATTGGATCTCTGCGATTCTTTCCTGGCTAACACTTTCTGCTCTCCTCACTCCAATATCAAATTCTGCAATTACAGCAGGGCAGCTCCAAGCCATCCACCAGACCTGCATACTGCACTGTCAGCACTATTGGATTTATTTGAAAGCTAAAACAAAAACTTCCACTTCCACTTTTTCCAGATTCAGTTAAATAGTATCTTTATATTTTTATTTAATTAGAAACAATGTCACTGAGGGTTGGCCTTTGGCCCCTGTTGCTTCTTTGGGTCTCACCTGGCTTGTTTTCTAAGGAGGTCCAGCCCTCTGAATACGACTACGTAGGCTTTCAGCCGGAGATGGTTCGGAATTACCAAAGCGGAAGGTTCTATTCAAGGACACCCCAATGCGTGGACATTCCCCAAGAACTCGCGCTGTGCCATGGCGTGGGCTACAACAAGATGGTGCTGCCCAACCTTCTGGACCATGAGAGTATGGTGGAAGTGAAGTACCAAGCCAGCAGTTGGGTTCCCTTGTTGAGCAAAAACTGCCACCCAGGCACCCAGGTGTTCTTGTGTTCACTCTTTGCCCCGGTGTGCCTGGAACAGCCCCTCTACCCGTGCCGATGGCTGTGCGAAGAGGTGAGAGATGGTTGCGAGCCGGTCATGCAGTATTTTGGCTTTCCTTGGCCGGAAATGCTTCGCTGCGATCAGTTCCCGAGGGAGGACGTCTGCATTGCCTCACCAAATGCCACCCAGGCCCCACGTCCACGTAGTAAGTATCACATGCCACGCTTGTACCCGTCATTGCTGCATCTGGCAGTATTGGTGTGCTCTATGTTGTGTATTCAATGGAGAATTGAACTGACCTATGCTTCTCTATGGCTCAGCTTTAGGTGATTGTGTTCTATTCTGTCTCACCATGTACACCAGTTTTGTATATCTCTCTGTGCTGAACTGTAGTCATTGTGGGCCGGTGCTGTCATTCAGCATGCTGCAGGTTTATTCTGATTCTACCCTTTGCATACATTTCATAGGTGGCATTATTCTACATAGGAAGGTTATCTGTGAAATAATTCACATGCAAGATCAATCAACGTAATACAGTTCTGGCAAATCCTGATGAGCTGACTCACCCGCCACATTATTTTATGTGACTCCAATTAAGCAATTACCCTGATGGGCTAAAAAACAAAGGAACTATGCTCTCCCCCCCTGGCCATAACTTGGAGTCTTACTTCTTCTGCTGCATTATATGCATTCTACATAGGATAAAATATAAAACTACATTGGAGAGTGAGTCCCCTTGGTATTAGGAGAGGGGTTGTGAGTGGCTGCAGGGTCTGAGAGGTAGATGAAGCCGCTGAATAATTCAGTAGCGGTATTAATCATGTGCAGTATCAGTTTGGGGTAAAGTCTCCTTATAAAGGTATATGAACGTTATATTGTCATATTCAGCTCACAATGACCACAGCCGCTGCTCAGTTATCTTACCAGACAGACATTGAGAAAATCATTGATAGGCATCAAAGTAAAAACAAAGAGAAGTCAAATATAATACTTAATATGTCGTTTCTAATAGGAGTCCTTAGAGCAAAAATTTTGTCACTTTGCGTGGCTAGCACTTTATTATGAGGACTTTGCGTGGCTAGCACTTCATTATAAGGACTTTGCGTGGCTAGCACTTCATTATAAGGACTTTGCGTGGCTAGCACTTCATTATAAGGACTTTGCGTGGCTAGCACTTCATTATAAGGACTTTGCGTGGCTAGCACTTCATTATAAGGACTTTGCGTGGCTAGCACTTCATTATAAGGACTTTGCGTGGCTAGCACTTCATTATAAGGACTTTGCGTGGCTAGCACTTCATTATAAGGACTTTGCGTGGCTAGCACTTCATTATAAGGACTTTGCGTGGCTAGCACTTCATTATAAGGACTTTGCGTGGCTAGCACTTCATTATAAGGACTTTGCGTGGCTAGCACTTCATTATAAGGACTTTGCGTGGCTAGCACTTCATTATAAGGACTTTGCGTGGCTAGCACTTCATTATAAGGACTTTGCGTGGCTAGCACTTCATTATAAGGACTTTGCGTGGCTAGCACTTCATTATAAGGACTTTGCGTGGCTAGCACTTCATTATAAGGACTTTGCGTGGCTAGCACTTCATTATAAGGACTTTGCGTGGCTAGCACTTCATTATAAGGACTTTGCGTGGCTAGCACTTCATTATAAGGACTTTGCGTGGCTAGCACTTCATTATAAGGACTTTGCGTGGCTAGCACTTCATTATAAGGACTTTGCGTGGCTAGCACTTCATTATAAGGACTTTGCGTGGCTAGCACTTCATTATAAGGACTTTGCGTGGCTAGCACTTCATTATAAGGACTTTGCGTGGCTAGCACTTCATTATAAGGACTTTGCGTGGCTAGCACTTCATTATAAGGACTTTGCGTGGCTAGCACTTCATTATAAGGACTTTGCGTGGCTAGCACTTTATTATAAGGACTTTGCGTGGCTAGCACTTTATTATAAGGATTTTGCATGGCTAGTAGTTTATTATAAGGACTTTGCGTGGCTAGCACTTCATTATAAGGACTTTGCATGGATGGTAGTTTATTATAAGGATTTTGTGTGGCTAACACTTTACTATAGGGACATTGCATGGCTAACACTTTATTATAAGGACTTTGCATGGCTAGCACTTTATTATAATGACATTGCATGGTTAGCACTTTATTATGAGGACTTTGCATGGCTAGCACTTTATTATGAGCACTTTGCGTGGCTAGCACTTTACTATAGGGACTTTGCATGGCTAGCACTTTATTATGAGTACTTTGCGTGGCTAGCACTTTACTTTAGGGACTTTTCATGGCTAGCACTTTATTATAAGGACATTGCATGGCTAGCACTTTATTATAATTGCTTTGTGTGGCTATCATTTTATCTTACGGGCTTTGCATGGCTAGCATGTTATAAGGACTTTGCATGGCTAGCACTTTATTATAACTGCTTTGTGTGGCTATCATTTTATTATGCATGGATAGCATTTTATTATGAGGACTTTGCTCATGCTAGCCACACATTTCTCTAGACCAGGGATGGGCAACTCCGACCCTCCTGCTGTGCCTTAACTACAACTCCTAACATGCCTCTGTCATGCCTGTAACTGTCAGTCTTGCAGTGCATAATGGGACTTGTAGTTCCATAACAGGGGGGGCCAGAGTTGCCCACCCCTGGTCTAGACTGTGTGGATTCAGACATTCGGCATCTACGGCTGTTTGAATACCCGAACAGTGACTGCAGCCGACAAGATTCAGTCGCTGCCCGGCCAACAATTTTCCATCTGGTTTCTTTATGGTGCTAACAGCGCCCCCCACGGCTCGAGGAGAAAATACTTTGTTTCGTTCTCCTTAATGTGCGCTGTCATCCGCTGTAGTGCGCAATGCATTGGTGTCAACTTGGCCTACTGGAAACAATTGATTTCAGTTTGTTATTCCCTTGGACCTGCAGCACAGTCCAATGGATGCGGTGTGAATTGGCCCTGAGGGATCGGCCGCGCACGCATGATGATATTCGCACAAATTTGACAAGGACAATTAGGAAGACCATAAGCTGCAAATGCCTCTGTGTGATAATGACCGCTTCCAATGCCAGGGGTGCCCACTAGGAACACGGAAATTGCTCAAAATGTTGCCGAAGTGAGGAAAATTGCTGGCTATAAAAAGGCAACATATGGTCATCTCATCCTCATTGTCAGTTCTCAGTGCTGAAGTCTCTGAACAGAAAAATTAAATGGAGGGTGTCACATTTGCTGATTTTCCACTCTGATTACTTGACTAACAACTTTGGCAGGATGACCTCTGTCATGTCATCTAGAGTCTCGTGCAGCCGAAGCATGCAGTATAAGCTTCACATTGCATTTGGCCACATTCACTGATTTTTTTAGCATCATTTTGTAGCTTTTAATATGGTAAAGTGCGAAGTAGAATGCAAAGTCACTCATATTAGTCATATAGAACCTTTTTTTTGTTTGTGATTTGGCTAAACTGATGAATGCTGAAATCTCACCGGAGCCTGAGGGCTACTACTGCATACCATTGTTCTCTGCATTGTTTAGCTGTTAAGCCGGCCATACACTAATTGTTTTTTGTCTTTTAGAGAAAGGAATCTACACAGCTTTAGGTCAAGAATTTTTAGACTGGCTCCATCGTTAAAAAAATGTAGATTGAATAATCTGGGCTACACACTGGTGTCGATGGGGTCACACACTGCTCAAATTTTGGCCGCCCAGGACTCGCACGGGATCTCCGATGTCAAAGAGAGTCCGTTGTCTCCTCCAGGTCCTTGTAGCCGCCCCCAATAACATGCTGCCAGGCCCATGTTTGGTCAGAACCTGATCTCATCCCTACATTTGAGGTTTTCTCTAGTTATTGTCGATAGAGCTGGCTTCTGGATTGGACAGACGTGCTCCTGAATCCCTTATTATTTGTCCACCCCTGCACTAATAATCTATACTTCCTCTCTATGTCCCTTGGGATCTTGTTGTCCCTATGTTCTCTCAACCCATAGTCATCCCATAGTATTACCATGGCCCAGGCAAGTATGCCCAAAGCTATTTCCTAATTCCCTCAACCCATGCCAAGTTGCTGCCAATTGCTTCTTAGCATTTAAATATTCATGGCTAGGTATGGTTGTATGTTCACTTTTGGTTTGGTTGTATGTCCTCCTGTGGTCAGGCCATACAATACTAAGTAATAAATTATACTTTCTTCCCAACTACGTTTTCCTGAAATCACCTGAGGAAAGGTCACAGCATCATGTAGTCCACCATGGTTGTTATAAGGGCCCAAAGCTTCCTTAGTCATTGGGCAGGTCTATCCATCTGGGGGTAGCATTACAGTACCATTGTAGTAGAAGAAATAAAGCATTACGGATTCTAAGGAAGCCCTAAAGCAACCCGTATTTGTAAAGTAACATGTAGATGCCATCCACAACTCTGCCCCCCCTGCTTCATCACCAACCTCATCTCAATATATCACCCAATCTGTCCTCTTTGCTTCTCCCAAAGACCTCCTGCTCTCTAGCTCCCTCATCACCTCCTCCCATACTCATCTCCAGGACTTCTCCAGAGCCTCTCCCACTCTCTGGCACTCCCTATCTCAATCTGTCTGGCTATCTCCTACCACCTTTAGGCGATCCCTGAAAAGCTTACCTAAACTGTCCTCTTCACTCCTCCCAAGACCTCCTGATCCCTAGCTTCCTCTTCACCTCCTCCCACGCTCGCCTCCAGGACTTCTACAGAGCCTCTCCAATCCTCTGGAACTCCCTACCATAATCTGTATGGCTATCACCTACTCTAACCATCTTTAGGCAATCCCTGAAAACTCACCCAAACCACCTTCTTCGCCTTCCAGGACCTCCTGCTCTGTAGCTCCCTCATCCCCTCCTCCCATGCTCACCTCTAGGACTTCTCCAGAGCCTCTCACCTAAACCACCCTCTTTGCTCCTCCCAGGACCTCCTGCTCTGTAGCTCCCTTGTCCCCTCCTCCCATGCTCACCTCCAGAACCTCTCCAGAGCCTCTCGCATCCTCTGGAACTCCAAACCCCAATCTGTTCAGCTATCTCCTACTCTGTCTGCCTGTAGACTATCACTGAAAACTCATCTCTTTAGCTAAGCGTATCTTGACTCTACCCAACAACTGAACCTTTACTCTCTCCATCAACTCATCGCCACACAGGTATTACCTTTTGTATCCCTTGTCCCTCCCT